GCGGATGGTTTACGGAGTCAAAAGCCTTACTGAAGTCCAGATAGCAGACTTCGACTCCCTCTCTCCTGTCCAGCCACTCAGTCACGACACCCAGGAAGGCTAGCAGATTTGTGAGGCACGAACGGCCTTGACGAAACCCGTCCTGAGCCTCCACAGCAGGCCGCATTGGGCGAGGTAGCTGGCCATCTTATCTCTGATTAACCTTTCCATGATTTATAGGATCATGGAGAGTAAGCTAACGGGCCTATAGTGGCCAGCTCCCTGTCGCCTCCTTTGTGGATGGGGGCCACAGTAGCTACTGTCCAGTCCTGTGGCAATGTGGCTGTCGCCATGGACATATTGGAGAGGCGAGCTAACGGGGCTGCCAGGATACTCCCTAGAGGCCTCAACAGAGCCGGGTGGATTTCGTCCGGTCCCGCCGCTTTACACTTATCTAAATTCACCAGGGTCTTTTCCACCTCCTCCGGTAGGAAAGTAATTTCCTTCATCAGGGTGGATCCTGCTGGCTGGTGCATGGGTTGCAGGATGCCCTCATCCTCGGTGTGTACGCTCTGGAATTGCTCACACAAGGAGATGCCTTCTGGGAGTTTCTCGTGGCGAAGGTGTTGTCCTTTTGCCTGATACAGCCGACTGCTTCCCTTGTAGTCGACTTAGACTGTACATACCCGTAGAAGGCCTTAGGGTGGTGCTTTGCTTTCTTGGCCAGGGAAAGCTGGAACACTCTTTTGGCATCCAGGAGGGTGTGGTCGAAAGACTTTCGTTCTCGTAAGTACTGAAGTTGTCTAAGATAGCCACCTGCGGCACAGAGTCGTTGCCACGCGGCCCGCTTTCTAATTAGGGCTTTCTTCATTCGACTGGACCACCATGGCGGAGTGGTCCGTGACCTAACTGGATGCAGGGGTGCGAAACTATTGGTGAGAGTCAGCAGGTTATCCCTGATCAAATCTCACTACTCTACCACCTCATAGTTTGCTTCTGAGCAGACCATGGTTTGAGCCGCAGCCTGGAGACATTCCGTATTCATGCTCACATGGCGTCGCCTCAATTTGACTTGAGAAAGCGGAAGAGCACAGCCGTATTCCATCGGATACTAGCGTGGTCACTTCTGCCTAGCGGTGCACCTATGGCAGTGATCCTGATGTCATTTCTGCCTTTGGTAAACACAAGATCTAAGGTGTTAGGAGAGTTACCCAGTCGCCATCGGGTGGGATCGGTGACGTGCTGGGTGAGCGCCAATTCATGCATCACCTCTAGCAGCTCATCCCGAAAGCTGCCAACTGGCGCATACTCCATCTCCCAATCGACCTCAGAAGCATTGAAATCCCCCGCGCATACTCCATCCCCCTTTCGATCTCAGGCGCACTGAAATCCCCCAAGACAAGAACCCTACTGTGCCGAGTTGTTGTGTGCCGGAGAAAATCTATCAGCAACTCATTTTCGTCGATGCCTGCGCTTGGGCTACGATAAACACGCAGGATTGCTAATCTTACTCCTGAGAGCTTGACTACACAGCCTGAATGTTCTCCGTGCACAGGATATCCATGGCTGTCTGAGGAAAGTAGTCTGCCACGAGCCGTAGAGCACCACCCCTTAACATATCCCCTGGACGATCGCAACGATAAGCCTGGAATCCTGGTGGACAGAAGCCCGCGATACAAAAATGAGACTTGAGCCAGGTCTCCGTTTGGTCAGCCTCAGCCCGGAGCTCGGTCCACTTGTTCATTAGGCTGCCGGCGTTAGTGTAGTAAACACTGAGAGCCCTCGCAGGTTGCACAGGACTGGTAGTGGCCACAGGCCAATCAAGCACCCAGAATACCTTCGGTGGTGTGGTCACGAGTGTGCATCCACCTCTTCGATTGATCAGTTTCTTCACCTATCTGCAAACAGAGAGAAAGAGAAACCTTACTTTTCGCCGTGTCGGTCAGGTCAGGTCGGGTCAGGCGAGAGACTTTTAATGTGAATGCGTTATATATTGCATGCAAAAAAGTAGTTATGAACCTAACAGCCGCATCCCGTTCAGTACTGCTCAGTTCTAAACACCTCTTATCCAAAGCCAGTTTGAAGGCGTCGATACTAGGCAGGTTGATTAGTTCTTCACGTAGTCTATTCCAGCTATGTACTATTCTGTTGCTGAAGTAGTCAGACCTCACACCTAACTTACTTCTTTTCTTCATCAGTTTGTGCTCGTGGCCCCTGTTGATTCTGGAGGACCCGTCTCGAACGAGTTACGTGTGGGT